TGCTTATGTGGTGCTGAGGAATCGAACCCAGGGCCTCATGCATGCAAGGCAAGCACTCTACCACTGAGCCACCTTCCCAGCCCCTGCCTCCAACTCTCTAAACTCCAGCTTCAGCATCCTGAATGTTGGGATTACAGGGGTATGTAATATACCTGGGCCTCAGTGATTCTTTTGTTGGTTATAGGGCTTTAACTCAGGGCCTGGGCATCATCCCTGAACTTTTTTGCCCAGGGCTGGTACCCTACCACTTTGAGCCACAGTACCACTTCTGGTTTTCTGGTAGTTAACTGGAGATAAGCATCTCACAGACATTCCTGCCTGGGTTGGCTTTGCACTTCAGTCTTCAGATCTCAGCCTCCAGAGTAGCTAGGATTATAGGCATGAGCCACCAGCGCCGGCTCCTGGTGTTTCTTTCAATCAATCCAGCATCCTGTTGTGCAGGTGTTTCTATTCTATTTCCTGATTCTCAAGGAGGAAACTGAGGTTAGAGGGAAGTTGCAAGGACATTCTGAAAGTGACATAACTCCTGCTCTCAGCAGTCTAACCTTGTTCCCCACCCTCCCTAGGCCACTAACCCAGCCAATTCTCCTGAGGCCAGGCTGTGCTGGAGACTCACCTGGAAAGTGGCAGCTGGTAGGTTAGAGATGGCAACATACTGGAGGTTATTCTGCAAGGTGTAGATGAGAGAGGGCACTGCAAGCTTGAGTGTGTCCACATACTGCACAAGGACAGCCTCATGGAGGAAAAGAACCAGATGCTTCACGTTACCTAGGTAGGAAGAGAGACCTTTTAGCATGACTACCAAAAGAGGGGATCCACTGAAGGCAGGGACCAGGCCTAGCTCCTACATCCACCTTTGTATCCTGTCCTTATCTGTAATCCCTTCCCCTAACTAATCATTCCCTAGGGACTAGAATGAGGTTTTTGTTGTTTTGTTTTTCAGTGATGGAACCTAGTGCTTCTTACATACTAAGAATGTAAACTACCACTGAGTTTAACACCTAGACCTTGAGCTCAGTGGTAGTTTAGTCTTACCAGGAAGTGTGAGAAGCCTTAACTTTTATCCCTAGCTAACATCTTACCTCCCAGACATGAAGCACAGTACAGAGCAGACACTGGACACATTAATACAATGAGGTAATTTCACTCATTGAGAGCTTATGAAGTAGAAGCCTTTGAGTTTGGGTAGAAAGCCTCTTCTAAACAAAGGTTTTACACTTTATTTGGTGCTGGGATGGAACTCAGGGCTTTTCCTACACTAGACAAGTGTTCTACCATTAATCTACACCCTCAGTCCTACAGCTGCTTTTTTATAATGTATCTCACCCCCTTCCCCTTGGTGGTGGTACTAGAACTTGAACTCAAGAGTTTCACACTTTCAGCTTTTATTTGTTCATGGGTGGCACTCTAACATTTGAGCCATACATCCAGTTCTCTGTGTGTGTTTGCACGCACGTGCACACGTGTACATATCCCAATCCTCAGACTTGAATTCTGGCCTGGACACTCCCTGAGCTCTTTTGCTCATAGTGCTCTACTACTTGAGCCACAGCTCCAGTGGCACCTGGCCAGTTTTGGCTTTTTTGCTGATTAGTCGGAGAAGCTGGGCATCTGTAGCTCATCTGTAATCCTAGCTACTCAGGAGGATGAAATCTGAGGATTCCAGTTCAAAGGCAGCATAGGCAAACTTTACTAATTAACTACCAAAAAGCTGAAGTGGAAGTGTGGCTCCAGTGGTAGCATATCAGTTTTTTTTTTTGGTCAGTCATGGGGCCTGAACTCTGGGCCTGGACGCTGTCCCTCAGCTCTTCAGCTCAAGGCTAACACTCTACCACTTGAGGAACTGAACCCAGGGCCTCATGCATGCAAGGCAAGCACTCTACCACTGAGCCACTTTCCCAGCCTAAGCACATCAGTCTTGAGTAAAATAACTGAGGGATAGCACCCAGGCCTAGGCCTAGTTCAAGCCCCAGTATCAGTACCAAAAAAAAGTCTCCTTTGTCTGCCTGGGCTGGCTTGGAATGCTAATCACCAATTCTCAGCCTCTTGAGTAGCAAGGATTATAGGTATGAGCCACTTCTGCCTGGCTTATAGTTCATCTTAAAAAATATTTTTTGTGGGACTGGGAAGGTGGCTCAGTGGTAGAGCGCTTGCCTTGCATGAATGAGGCCCTGGGTTCGATTACTCAGCACCACATAAGGGAAAAGAAAAAAGCTGGAAGTGGTGCTGTGGCTCAAGTAGTACAGCGCTAGTCTTGAGCTGAAGAGCTGAGGGACAGCGCCCAGGCCCAGGGTTCAGACCCCATGACCGGACCCCTCCCCCCGAAAAAAAAAAAAACCAGTCTCACATCTGGGTGCTGGTTACTCAACCCTGTAATCCTAGCTATTCTGGAGGCTGAGATCTGAGGATTGTGACTTGAAGCCAACCTGAGCAGAAAGTCGATGAGATTTTATCTCCAATTAACCACCAAAAAAGCTGGAAGACAACTGTGTCTTAAGTGGTAGAGCACTAGACTTGAATCAAAAAGCTCAGCAACAGTGCCCAGGTCCTGAGTTCAAGCCCTAGGATCAACAAAATAATAAAAAATAGTCTCACAGAGTGCTGGGAAGGTAGCTCAGTGGTAGAGCGCTTGCCTTGCATGCATGAGGCCCTGGGTTCGATTCCTCAGCACCACATAAGCAGAAAAAGCCAGAAGTAGCTCTGTGGTTCAAGTGGTAGAGCGCTAGCCATGTGCCCAGGCCCAGAGTTCAGGCCCCACGACCAGACCCCTCCCCCCCCAAAAAAAAGAAGTCTCACAGACTTTTCCTGCCAAGGTTGGCTTCAAACTGTGATCATCAAATCTCTCCACCTCCTAAGTAACCAGGATTACAGGTGTGAGCCTTTGGTGCCCAGGTGTTTAGGTGTTTTATTTTGCTGGTCCTGGGGCTTGAACTCAGGGCATGGGCTCTGTCGCTGAGCCTCTCTGTGCTCAAGGCTAGTACTCTACCACTTGAGCCACAGCATCACATCCCACTTTTTTTGTTTATGTGTTGCTGAGTAATTGAACCCAAGGCTTCATGCTTGCTAGGAAACACTCTACATCTAAGCCACATTCCCAGCCCTCTTTAGTTTGTTTTGATAGGGCCTTGCACTTTTTAAAAAAAAATTGTTTTGGGGTCCGATCGTGGGGCCTGAACTCTGGGCCTGGGCGCGGTCCCTCAGCTCTTCAGCTCAAGGCTAGCACTCTACCACTTGAGCCACAGTGCCACTTCCGGCTTTTTTCTTTTTGCTTATGTGGTGCTGGGGAATTGAACCCAGGGCCTGATGCATGCAAGGCAAGCACTCTACCACTGAGTCACCTTCCAAGCCCAGGGCCTTGCACTTTTGTCTGGACTGGCTTCAAATTATAGACCCATGCTAACATGTGGAATTTTCTCTTTCAAGGCAGTATCTTATTATGCAGGCCAGACTAGCCTTGAACTCCTGGATGTATCTTCCTGCCTGCCTGAACTCCTTGAGTAGATGGTACTTTTCTTTCTCTCTTTTTTTTTTTTTTTGGTCAGTCATGGGGCCTGAACTCTGGGCCTGGGCGCTGTCCCTCAGCTCTTCAGCTCAAGGCTAGCGCTCTACTACTTAAGCCACAGCGCATCTTCCAAGTTTTTCTGCTTATGTGGTGCTAAGGAATCAAACCCAAGGTCTCATGCATGCAAGGCAAGCGCTCTACCACTAAGCCACCTTCCCAGCTCCAAGATGGTACTTCTATACTGGTATAGCTGGTATTACACTAGCTACTCAGGGAGCTAAGATCTGAGGATTGAAGTTTCAAGCCAGCCTGGGCAGAAAAATTTGTTGTTGTTGTTTTTTTTGGGTCCGGTAGTGGGGCCTGAACTCTGGGCCTGGGCACTGGCCCTCAGCTCTTTAGCTCAAGGCTAGCGCTCTACCACTTGAGCCACAGCGCCACTTCCGGCTTTTTTCTTTTTGCTTATGTGGTGCTGAGGAATCGAACCCAGGGCCTCATGCGTGCAAGGCAAGCACTCTACCACTGAGCCACCTTCCAAGCAGCGGGCAGAAAAATTTGTAAGACTATCTCTAATCACTCAGCAAAATACTCAGCTGAATGCATGGCTCATGGTAGAACATTAGCCAATAGCAAAAAAAAAAAAAAGGTGAATGAGTGCACAATGCCCTGAGTTTAGTCCCCAGTACTGGCAAAATTTTTTCTTCAAGATAATAACAAGGAAGGCTGGAGGCATGGCTCAAGTGGTAGATTATAAAGTAAGCACAAGGCCCTGAGTTAAATCCCTAATAAAAAATATGTCTACTTCAAAATAATGAGGAGCTACTCAGGTGGCTGAGATCCAGAATCTGGTTCAAAGCTAGCTCTGGCAGAAAAGTACATGGGATTCCATCTAAAAAAAACACAGCAAAAATCCAAACTGGACGTGTGGCTCAAATGGTAGAGCACCAGCAAATCAAGTAAACAGGAAGGGTATACAATAAATATTATCATTAATGCAGTTTCATGACGGAGGGCCCATCAGCAATTAATTATAAACCTGGGGATGTGTACACAGATGTTTTAATTTTACTATTCTCTCCAATTTTGTGTGTATTTGGAATTCTCCATAATCAAAGTTAAATCAATCACCATAAGAGTGCTCTACTTCTTTCCTTATGGGCAGAATATCGCAGTCCCGCTGCTCCCAGTGTAAGGGGTATACAAGAGGAGACTCAGCTACTCACAGCTGGGGGCAGGAGGGAAAAGTTCAGATGCACTTTACATATGCCCCAGAAAGCCTCACAGACACTGGAATAAGGTCCCTGCTAACCCTCCATGTGTGCACACACACGTACTTGTGGAGTCACACCCACCAACCCCCTCCCTGGCTCATACCCCTCTTCTGTGCGAAGAGTAGCAGGAGGCAGGTGAGACCTTTGAGCACTTCAGCCATGACCACAGCAGTGGTGGCAAAGAAGCGGTCCCCAGGCAGTGTACGGGCATAGCGGATGCTGAGGATGAGGGAGGCATTCTGGACCACCAGCACGGCTAGGGATATGTACTTGAGGCGCCGGTGAGCTGTAGGAAATGGAAAGGGACAAGGGAAAAAGATGAGGTCAGAAGCTGCTGGGTCATAGTACACCATCATCCCATCATTGCTCCTTTGCCAACTAGGATCCTCTTAGTGACAGAAACTTCCTCCCTCTCCTAGGCCACCCTGACTCAACGAGGGCCTTAGCCCTATCTGATTCCACTCTCTGAACCAGAGGCAGAAAGTCAGATAGGGAGAAGTGGGCCCATGATGTCCAGCCCATACCTGGAATTCTTGCTGTGTCAAGAAATGAATAGGATAGGGCCTGGATACCCAGATCAGTGCTCTTTCTCTCCTCTGAGAAGCAACTCTTTCCCAGACAGAATACCAGCAACTACATTTTCAACATTTACTGAATGCTTACTGTGCGCCCACTACCAGGCTAAAGGATTTACATGTATTATCTATCTCAATGGATTCATCTATCTGATCTCTGAAGGACCTATGAAGATTCTCATTTTATGTAAGGGCAAGTTAAGAGTTTATAAGAAATGATACTTCTACTCATGAGGGGGCAATGCACATAAAAGAATAATATTCTAATATAAGGAATGAATGGGATCACCGAATAAGATACGTCCACCCCCATCGCAATGGTATTCCCCGTTGTCTCAAGGATTTAATCCTACATAAGAAACAATCACCCCACAGAAAATGGTCTGGTTCCCTCTGCCACACCAGGAAAATACTTTGTCCATCCTCCACATGATCCAACCTGCCAGCACTTCACACCCTGTCAACGCAGCCAAGGAAAAATTCCTTCTACCCACATTCACCATGATCTCTGCTATAAGGAAGAACCTGGCACTCTCAGAATGTTCTGACCTATAAGGAAAGAAATCACTTCCATCTCGACAAACAATGAACTTTACCTGTATTAGGAACCTCCCCAGAACATTCTCCTCATGTAATGAAAGGCATCCTTGTGCTCAAAATGGACCCATTGGTCACATAAGGAAGAACTTGCCCCACCCTGTCAATTTATAAGGAATGAGCCACCACCCTCTGAATAGTCTCTCCTTCTACAAACAAGAAATCCCACACTCTGAGAATGGTCTCTCCCTTCCATAAGGAACTCACACATACTGAGAATGGTGTCGGTGGTCTTAGCCTTTCCTAAGAGGAAAATTCCCTCACATGCAAAATCGTCTTTATTGTCCAGATGTGGCAAGACCCTGCTCACAACCACCCTAAGAACGGTCTATTACCGCCCCTCACTCGCTCCCTCATCCCCGTGTCTCCCAGCTACACACTCATATAGGTCGGTGCACAGGGGATGCTCTTCCCTGTTCCTTCAGTGAGGAAGCAATTTGACCCTCAGGGCTCCCGACCTCCGCCCCCCGTCGACAGCTCAGCAACAGCACGTCTCACCCGCGTTCGCTGTCCCTGGCTCCAAGGTCCCCGCGGAGACCGCCCCTGGCCCGGCCGCCGCGGTGGAACCACCAACCCCAACCGCTGCCATGTTGGCATCTGCCCGGCCCGTCCCCTCGGCAACAGCAGGCCACTTCCGTATCCATCACTTCCGCTTCCGGGCCTGGTTGTTTTTTTTTTGGGGGGGCGGGCTAGTTGCTGGGACTTTTTAGGAGGGCGGCTTGCCTTTCCCGCTTCTCAAAGACGGGAGCCTAAGATGGCTGCGTAAGACTTCCCCGATTCCTTTAGAACGAAGCGAACCAGAAAGTTCTGGCTAGAATCCTAGCCATCTTTGCAGAATTACACTGCCCCATTCTGGCTACTAGACCCGCCTATCGTCTGTCTGGTTCAGACCCGGCTTCCTATACCACCCGCCCATTTTCTCATGGGCTTATTGGTCCGACTGCTCCCTCTGCTCGGCTGTTTATTGGCACCGCCTCCAGATGGCGCCGCCCTTTCCGCATCACGAAGCCCTAGATTCTCCTCTGGTTGGATTGAAGTTCCTCCGAACCCTCCCGGCCAGATCCCGCCCTCAAGGACCAAGGAGCTACTAAGACCTAAAAGACACGTGTGTAGCTATAGGTGTCCTGTATGTTTAGGGGAGTGGAGCAACTGCTGGGTATCTAGCACAGGTACAAGGCTATCATTTGAAGCTGTTTAAGTGAGAGCAAGTGACCACCACGACTAGAAAATAGGAACATGAGGGAAAAGCTGAAAAGGGACAAATATGAGAAAAGGCAAAAACATGTTTTAAAGCTGCTGGGCACATAATAGGTACAAGGCTATCTCAGTGCTAACAAATGAGAAAGCCAGTGACCGCTGTGGCTAGGAAAAAGAAAAATGAGAGGCAAAAGCAGAAGGGACAAATGAGTAAAGGTGAAGAAAGTTTAAAAGGACATTTCAGGGGCCTGAGGGTTTTTTTTTTTAATTCTGCAGTTCTTGCTTCAGGCCTTGAGGTAACAGATGTGTGCAACCTCGCCTAGCATGCTGAAAAAGGACTTAACAGGATTTCTCCCTTCTAGGTTCAGCTTGCAAAAAATATAAATGTTTCAGAAATACCTGTTTCTACAAACGGCCAGTCACTTGTGAATTTTATTTATTAAATAGTGGGATTCCACACATGGCTTTTTAAATAATCCAGGCAGGGGGAGAAGTGACAGGAGGGCACACTTGCAGCTCTCCTACCTCCAGTACACAAATATTTACATTTTAGCAATTGGACAATCCTGGCTCAGTAGGAGGCAGCAAAGTTGGGAGGGGGGACCTCAGGAGAATACACAACAAAACATTTCCCCCAGCATATCCCCCCCCCAAAACCCCATCCATCCTATCCTAGTTTCTGGTGATGTCTGATGGTATCTGTTTCCCATTCCTTCCCAAAATATGGAAGTCAGGTTTCTTCTCACCAGAGTAAGAGCACTTGGGGTAACAGTAGGATCCCCTCACCAAAAACAAACAAAAAAAAAACAAAAAAAAAAAAAAATCGCCAAAAGAAACAAAAATAAAACCAAATGCACAAACACAAAGAGCCCTGGGATGTTATTAATAGGGCATTCATTACCTCTCCCAGAATAAGCACGTCTAGGATGAGATAGGCAAGCAGCTTGACCGAATATGGGACCCTTGGCTAGGGGAAAGGGCCCTTTTGCTAAAATAAAGAGCTGCTGGGATATTTTAAGGAAAGCACCCTTGCCCAAGTGAGAGCATTTGAACTAATTATCTTATCTAAGTTTGTGTGGTGGCACTACAGGAGGTGCTAGTGCACGGGAAGGGGTTTACAACTTAAGGAAAACAAATCCTAGGGCTCAGAAGGGAAAAATCTCCAAATAAACATCCTGAACAGAACACAAAGCAAAGAATTCCTCCCTCCAGAATAAGGGCCACAGGTTCTAGGAGGAAGGCTCCTTCACAAGATTGGGATAGGAACTGGGCAGATTTGGCTCATCTTCTGACCCCTGAACCCTTATCCCTGACCTTAGTAATACTGGATTTTTAACAACCTGTATAACCAGGTCAACAGATGTCCATCTATCCCTGTGGCATGACCATGGGATTCCAACCAGTGGGCGGCCTGACTGGGCCTAGGGAAGCAGGGACCAGGCCAAGGGAGTAGTAGGACTTCCTTTAGGGGCATCGGCGGGCACTTCCTCAGCTGGTGTCTGCATCCAGGGGTCCAGCAGGATCTCCTCCAGTGAGGGTCGGTTAGAAGGTTTAGGAGCCAGGCACCGGCGGATTAGGGCACAGCAGTCTGTGGGTCAAGAAGCACAGGACCGATGAGTAACAAATAGTGAAAGATTGGGAAGGTTGGGGTGGGAGCAGTAAGGGCCTCACCTGAGGAGACATGGGCAGGAAACTGAAGCTGAGCCTCCAGGATCTCCTGGTCTCTCTCAAAGGGAATATCTCCACACACCATGTCATAGAGAAGGACACCCAGTGACCAGACAGTGGCTGGGAGTGCATGGTACTGGTGCCGAGAGATCCATTCTGGAGGGCTGTACACCCTTGTCCCTGCACAGAAGCCAGTAGTCAAGAGTTAGATCCTTCTATGGCGATGCCCCCTTTCCCAACCCCTGCTCTGCTCAAATTATGGAACCCTAATGGATGATTCCATCATTCTAATACAGAAAGCTACACTTCCACTATTAACAGCAGTCTCATCACTGAAGAAAAAAAACACTTGTAGTCATCCCTCCACCCCAAATAATAGAAACACTTAAAAATAACAGCTAAGATCCTCTTAGGAAATAAAAATCCACCTAGAATAGAAAAAAAGGATCCTCACACTAGAGTAACAGCCCAGTACAGGGTTAAGGCACACAGCCAGAGATCAAGGCTTGACAATGCCCAGTACTAGAAATAAAGAAACTTGTTCATAACACCCTCCAATTCAATTCACCTCCCCCTGTTGAGATCTGGGTAGTAAGTCTTACCATCAAAGTCAGTATAGGGTTCATCATGAAGCAGGGCACCAGAACCAAAATCGATGAGTTTAACACAGCCCCTGCATAGGTCTATCAGGATGTTTTCATCTTTGATATCACGATGGACAACTCCACGGGCGTGGCAGTGTTGGACTGCTGCCACTACCTGGGTAAAGAAGCTGCGGCTTTTGCTCTCACCCAGTGGACCCTTCTCTGTGATGTAATCAAAGAGATCTTGGGCGGGCATAGGTCTCTCAAGGACCAGCATGAAGCCTTCTGAGGTCTCAAACCAGTCAAGCAGACGGATCACACCGGGATGCCCACTGCCTTCACCCACCTTCCATAACAGTGCCACTTCGAGTGGGCAAGTGACTGAGTCTGACTGTGGGGTGGAAAGCAAAGAGAAGGGAGATATAAGATCAGCTTTGAAGCCAACTTTACCAAGTTTTATTTTTTTTGGTCGGTCGTGGGCGCTGAACTCTGGGCCTGGAAGGCACTGTCCCTCAGCTCTTCAGTTCAAGGCTAGCGCCCTACTACTTGAGTCACAGTGCCACTTCTGGCCTTTTCTGCTTACGTGGTGTGAGGAATCGAACCCAGGGCTTCATACATGCGAGGCAAGCACTGTACCACTGAGCCAACTTCCCAGTCCTCCAAGTTTTTGTGGCAACCTCTTGACTACAGCCTTCAGTTACCAACTTCCATCCTGTACCTCAATATCCTTTTTCTTTGTCCTGAGGCTTGAACTCAGGGTCTGGGTGCTGTCCCTGAGCTTTGAGCTCAAAGCTAGCACTCTACCACTTTGAGCCATGGTGCCATTTGTGGTTTTCTGGTAGTTAACTGAAGATGAGTCTCATGGACTTTCCTGTCCCAGATGGCTTTGAACTGAGGCCCTCAGATCTCAGCCTCCTTGGTAGACAGGATTACAGGCACAAGCTTCAGTACTTTTAATAAACTCAGTTTTTTTGGTGCGCCAGTAGTGGAGCTTGAACTCAGGGCCTGGACACTGTCTCTGGGCTATTCTGCTTAAGGCTAGCACCCTACTGCTTGAATCGCAGCTCCAGGTTTTTAGTAGTTAATTGGAGAGAACAGTCTCATCAACTTTCCTGCCAAGGCTGGCTTCAAACAGCAATCCTAAGATCTCAGCCTCCTAAGTAGCTAGGATTATCCTAAGTGTGAGGCACCAGTGGCTTAGGTGAGCTAAATACTAGCCAGGTGTTAGTGCCTCACACCTGTAATCCTAGGTATTCAGGAGGCTGAGATCTGAGAATTGCAGTTTGAAGCCAGCCTGGGCAGGAAAGTCCATGAGATTTATCTCCAATTAATTACCCCAAAAGCCAGAAATGGCTCAAATAAATGGTAGAGTGCTAGCCTTGAGCCAAAACATTCCCAGAGACAGTGCCCAGCCCCTGAGGTCAAGGCCCAGAACTGTCAAAAATAAGAGCTCGAGCCTGTAATCAGCTACTCAGGAGGCTGAGATCTGAGGATCCAAGCTCAAAGCCAGCCCAGCCAGACAAACCTGAGTCAGAGCACTAGCTTTGAGCAAAAAAAAAAAAAAAAAGCAAAGATAATGTCCAGGCCTGGAGTTCAAGCCCCAGGACCTGCACAAAACAAAACAAGAAGAGAACTATGAGCTTAGTACTTTTATAGAGTACTACATTCTGTTTTGCTCACTGGCACCCTGAGATTTTACACAGTAGGTTCCCAATAAATCTGTTAAATAAATGAAAGCAATTTATACTGTAGGGTGTGACAGAGTCAGCACTCAAATCTGTTATTGCAGTTAGCGTCTGTATATTTGTTTATACTAGAGATTGAACTCAGGTCCTTGTCTTTACAAAAGCCCTATCCATCAGGCCGTAACTCAAGCTTCTATGATGTTTTTTTTTTTCTTCAGACAAGGTCTCAGCTTTTTGCCCTGGGTAACATCCCACATATGCCCCTAATGTGTGGCTAGGGTTACAGGTCACCCAGTTTATCTGAGATGAGGTCTCACACTGAACAAGTGTAATGGTTTCCCTAACTGGTTGGCAGTTTTGTTCATTTATTTCAAGCACTAGAGCACTTCTTGGTAACAAGGCAGGATTCACTATTTGTTAAACAGGTAGAAGCAGTTAGCAGGTCGTATTTAGCCTCCAGACAAGCTCTAATGAAAGTATTTTGCCAAGTGCCTGTAATTATGCCTGCAATTCAGTAAGTATGCAATT